TAATCAAGAGTTACTAATAATGTAATTTTCATTTATTTTGTTGTAGCATTACTCTTTTCTACTCTGTCTTATTATCAGTATATATTGAATATTTTCTGGCAAATAGAAAGTTGATGACAGGGTAAGTGACAGCTGGAATAGTTGTCATTCTGGCGAGCCAGGATGATAGTGAAGGAGAAAAATTTCTTATCATCATTATTTCCCCTATAAGGTGGGTTATAAGCATGAGGGAGGTGAAGAGCAAGGGGTGATTTGGTGAAGAAAAAGGATTAGTAGAGCGGTCAGTTGTCAGGTAAATATCTCACTTGCTTTTTAGTCCAAATTTATGTCCTTTATGATGGGTCTATTAGATTATCAGCCAACAAAAAGATTGTGCATGTTTACAGAAGATGGAGTTGGATGAAGTAATCAGAGAAAGGAGACGGGGTGTTGTATTTGATTTGTTGAGAGGTTTGTTATGGGTTTTTGTGAAACAAGGAGAAGATGCAATTAGTTTTTTTTTTTTTTTTTCCTGGTTTATCTAATGACCCCTATTTCTTCTTTTTTTTTTCCCCTCTCCTCTATGTTTTATATCTCGCATATTTTCTTTTCTTTTAGGATTTACACAGTTGTTCTAGGTTGTAAGATTTTCTCTCTTCTTTCACCTATATTTGATATATTTTTATTTAAGTTTTATATGGGAAGGAAATCTTAATACTTTGGAATACTGTTGATAAGAATTGACTATAGTAGAGGATTTAAATTTAGTTGAATTTGGACTGCTTTTGTTTTCTCAGTCTGATTTGCTGTGCTTTTATTGGTGGATATCATTTACCATTTAAAATCCAATAGACATCCAACCAAGGTAAGTACATCCCTCTCTAAATTCATGTTACTTTTCTCCTCTGAAGAGAATAAGAGTTGCAAATGTTTGCTTGATTCGTAGTAAGGGAACCTGATTCACTACTAAAATGCTTAGCTTCAACATGTTGCTGAAAGCCCTTCAGCAACATGGATTTGCTTGCTAAAAGCTTTGTTGGAGATGGTTTGGTGGGTAATACATTACCAACCAAACTCTTGTTGCTGATATATCAGCCAATGTTTTTGAACCCGGCCCGGTGGCTGGCCCGGTTTGGCCACTGGGTCCGGTTCAACCGGTTGAACCGGTTCACCCGACCGGTTCAACCGGTCAACTAAAAAACTTTTTTTTTGGGCATTTTTATTGAATTTTGCTTTTATACCTTACCTTCACGGTTTCACCCGAAAACGATACAGATCGTTTTGAGCAGAACAGACGAGGGAGATGAAGATGATCGGCGAAAGAGAAGAAGTGCAGCGGCGGAGGAGAGGATCGGTGGACGGTCGGCGGAAAAGAAGATCGGCGGACGCTCGGCGGAAAAGAAGATCGGCGGACGATTGGCGGTGGAGAAGATCGGCGAACGATCGCGGAAGAAAAGATCGGTGGACCATCGGCGGACAAGAAGATCGGCGGACGAGAAGATCGGTGGAAGAGACGATCGGCGGACGGTCGGCGAATGATCGGCGGACGATCGGCGGACGATCGGCGGAGAATCGGCGAACGAGAAGATGATGAAAATTTCAGCCCGGCGGGTTGCAGCGGGTCGCAAGAGTTCAACGGGCGGGACGGGTCTGACGGGTTTCAACGGGTTTCAACGGGCCATTTGCTTAAACGGGCCGAAGTATGCACTCGGCCCGTTTTCAGGTCCGGGTCCGGTTCAACCGGTTCAACCGGCCGGGCCGGGCCGGGTTTTAAAACACTGATATCAGCAACATGATCTATGTTGCTGAAAATATAGTATCAGCAACCTAGCTCATGTTGCTAAAAAAGGTGGCTGGAATCCGGTGGAAGTTGGGGGTGAATTCTCACCCCCTTCAGCAACATAGGCCACATTGCTGAAGATAGAGTTTCAGCAACGTGGCTCATGTTGGTAAAAATTACAAAAAATCTATCTATTTTTCGGCATCGAAATTTTGTGGCATTTTCAGCAACAAAAGCCACGTTGCTAAAACCCTATCTTCAGCAACGTGGCTTATGTTGGTAAAAATTGCCAAAAATCTATCCATTTCCGGTACTGGAATTTTGGGACATTTTCAGCAACAAAAGCCACGTTGCTAAAACCCTTTTTTCAGCAACGTGGGTTATGTTGGTAAAAGTAGAGGGGATAGTGGTTTTCCACTTTTCAGCAACATAATCGTTGTTGCTGATTGTGTACTTTCACCAACACCGGTTCCTTGATTTTCAGCAAGCAAAGCCACGTTGCTGAAACCATATTTTCAGCAACGTGGCTTGTGTTGCTAAAAAAAGAGACGGAAGAGTAACCCAACATTTCAGCAACAATAGCTATGTTGCTGATATCCATTATTTATCAAGATAATTCTTCTTGCTGATATTCAGGGTAAATAATTACCCAATATTTTTAGCAACATGCCTCTTCTTGTTGATGTCTCATTTATATGATAATAAATATATTACATTAATTTTTTATTATTAGTGTCAAATTTAATAAATTTATAATATT